ACGATGATGATGATGATGACGACGATGATGATGATGATGATGACGATGACGACGACAATAATAAAATAAAGTTTATAAGCTTCTTAAAACCTTAAAATTATAAAAAAAATTAAATTTAATGCAAGTAAGCAATTGCTTGAATAAATTTATCAGGCGTTTATGCATATATTATTATTATTATTGTTGTTGTTGTTTTTATTATTATTACTATTAATGTTATTATTATTATTATTTAGTATTTGGTATAATATAAGTATAAAGTAATGTTGCTGTAACTGTCTATGTAAAAATACATCTAACAGTGTGTAAACAAAAGTAAAATGTAAACTGGGAATGTAAACAAAGATTGTAAACAATGACGTAATGGAAGTATTAGGCGTAAATTGTAAACAAAACAAAGTAATTGAAGTAACTACTGATTAAATTTACAGTACAATTTTTGTTTACAACCACAAGATGTAGCGGAAATAAAAAAAAAGGCAGACCGTCATAAATATCAATTGAAAAACAAGTTACCAAAAAGACTAAAAATTATACAATGGTAATGTAGGTTTAATTAAAATGTAGAAACGGTTGTTATTTTTCTAAATTATTTTTATAGCGCAATTTTTTTGATTTATATGAGGCAGAACAATAATTGTGTGCGTGTGTGAGTGTGAAAATTTGTGAGCGTGTGTTGGTATTTATGTGTTTGTGTGTATGTACGTGTGTGTTTATCAGACTCAATATGTAAGTGTGGTTATGAATGTGTGTCAGTGTATATGTGTATGTGTGATATGTTTGTATTGATGTGTCTGTCGGTTTGTATGTGTGTGTGTGTATGTTTGTATAAATGTAACGAACAAAAATGCTTTACAACGTGCCTCGCTAATGAATGAATATATGAATGAATGGATAAACGAACGAACGAATGAACGAATGAACGAACGAACGAACGAACGAACGAACGAACGAACGAAAGAATAAATGAATAAAAGAATGAGGAAATGAAAGAATAAGTAAAAACCTTTTCTTTAAAAGCACCATGGAAGCGAAATCTTCATTTAAAAGTTTTCAAATTGAGCGAAAAATTATATCGCGTGTTTAAAAAATTCAGTCTGTTTACTACTTTGTAACATTTTGTTTACACTTTTGTTACATTTTGTTTACATTTTGTTTACATTTTTTACGTTTCGTTACAATTGGTTTACGCTCGTTTACATTCACTACAAATTATTTTCGGATCTTCAACATTTAATAAAATTCATTCCAAAAGTCATTTCAAAATTTTTGTATCTCCAACATTTAATAAAATTCATTCTAAAATTCATTTCAAAATTTATTCCAAAATCCAACTTTAATATCTACTCAAGAAATAGTCCGTTACATTCTTTGTATACTTTTTAAAAATCTTCAAGGAGAAGTTGTAATCAGGTGTGTTCGAGTATCATCATCTTGGCGATCATCGTCATCTTCACCTGCAAAAATGAAAAAAAACATCACGCTTAGCGTCATCATCGTCATCATCATCGTCATCATCATTACTTCCATCTTGCAATCTTGATGACCATCTGAAGACTTTCCTGTGTGACTCTACTCAATAATTCAACTGCCTGAGGTATCTCAGTTCAACCAACCAACTGACCAACCAAACGACCAATCATTCACTGACCAACCAACCAACCAATCAACTATTTATTCATCCAATCAGCAAAACATTCAATCAGCCAATCAGTCAACCATTTAATCAGCCTATCAGTCAATTAACCAATCTATCTGTATACGATTTTAACTGTAACAAAAAATAACATTTTCCTAGCAGCTAATCAAACAATTC